GGGGGGGGGGGGGGGGGGGGGGGGGGGGGGGGGGGGGGGGGGGGGGGGGGGGGGGGGGGATTGGTTTTGGGGGGGTGTGGGTGTGGGTGTGGGTTAGGGTGTGGGTGTTTGCTGTCTCTTTATTTAATTCCACACCCTCAAACCCACACCCCCCCATCTACACTCACACCCACACCCACACACACACTCACACCCACATCCACACCCACACCCACACCCATGCCCACACCCACACGCACACCCACACCCACATGAAAAGCTGAAGATAATGGCAAGGTCTGGTAATGTAAGACAGCGTTGCTTATGAAATGAAAATGTTGATTTTGTGATGTACATTGTCATCGACTAGACTTCAATCTGTTTCATAGAAGCATTGTTCAGCCTTACCCTTGTGGTCGAACTCTTTTTTCACAGATTCGACAGACAGACATGAATATTTCAGTGTTTTACGATCGATAGCGATATCACCCATTTATGTAACAATCATTCTCATGCTATCGAAAAAGAGATAAGCAGCAGGCGCAGTTATTGACATGATCATTTATTTGATAATTTAACTGAGAGATGAGAATTTTTGAACAGTTACAAACGGATGCATGGATAAGAGCGGAGCAATCGATATTGACTCATGAAATAAAATACGAGAATATGATTAGTTACTAACTATTTGTATGTTTAGTACGATATGCTAAGTATGTTCAAAGTTCAGTGTCAATATGTGATACAAATCAGAATACATCGATTTCTGTTTATCTAACCGCTTTGACCCGCTGACTTAATTTTTCCATTTTCGATCACAAAAAGCCAGTTACGAACAACAGTTTTGACACCTTCGAAAGGTGCTGCTAAATGCATTCTTTGACCATCGGATCGAGTCACTTCAATACGTTGAAGAGGTTGGACTGCGGTCCATGTACCATGATCAACCGTCTTCTCATCAGCTTGATGCGTCTGTCCTTGACCTAAATGAACTATACTGTGTGATGTAACGTTGTTGTCTTCGGGAGACGATTCATAAACCAATCGAATTTGAACATGATCATCAGAATCGTTTCGAATTATACAATCACGTACGTAAGCTGGCGAACGAACACATCCATGCGAACTCATATTTATAGTTTGTTTTGATCACTTCGAAAGAACGACTGCTTGCCGATGTGTTATAATAGGGTACTTCTACACAATATGCACCACTTATCACGACCATGAGAGAAAAAAGAAAAAATTTGAATTGGCATATATTATCAACTATTAGAGATAAGAGAGAAATAGATGGCGTAATTGGATGAAAAAGTAATTGTGTATTTTTTTTTGAAGCTTAATTCAATAAGATTAATTAGACAGGGGTTAGAAGCTCTAAATGACTCGATAGATGAAATTAGTTATTCGACTATAAAAGTAAGTCTCAAAATAGTGAGATATATCATAAAATCACAATGGCTTATGCATCTCTTCTTCCTTTTGACGATTTTACTAATCGTGAATGGCACGAGTACATAAGTAATATTGAAGATACTATTACTTTTTGTCAGCTATTAGGTTTAATTGCTGTAACGCCACGTTCACCATGCGGCAAAGATCATCATAATTGGTACCTAAGTGCTACTAAACGATATCAGGACAACGACAATTGGCGTTGCCGAACTTATAGATCGAATCGTTCTATACGTGATGAAATTTTTTTCCTGCAATCAAAAGTTACACGACAACAAATTTTGGATTTGATGTTCTACTGGTCGCAATCACTCGATAGTCATGAATATTTATACGGTCACTGTCGTTTTACCAGCGAAAGCACTATTGTTAATTGGAAAAGCATCACTCCAGAAATTTACATTTTATCTTTTCTTCGTTTTTCTTGTACTATAGCTAGACCAGATCACGTAGTCGAAATCGATGAAAGCGATTGGACGAAAAGGAAGTATAACAGAGGAAGAATAACTAATAACTCTACTACCCATCGTAGGAAAGTATATCTTTCCAGAAACTACTATTTATAGCGATCAATATAAAGCCTACAAAAACATCTCACGGTATGTCTCACGACTATACACATGATACTGTCAATTATTCAAGAAATTTTCTCTCAACTGATACTCTGGTTCATACACAAAATGTAGAGAATATATGAACGTGTGCAAAAAATGAACAAAAAAGATAATATGAGACAGCATATAACACAACTCCAGACTCATCTGACTGAATTTATGCGGAGAAAAAGATTCGTTGATCGACCTTTCAAGAACTTAATTCGGCATATTCACATCTGGTATCCTTTTCTCTGATCGGTTTGGCTGTGGGTATGGGTGTGTGGGTGTGGGTGTGGGTCTTCTCCTCACACTCATACCCACACCCCAATAAGAGCAATAACTGATGCATAAATAGTCCAATTGAGTGCTTGTTGAAGAAAAATAGCACCAGAATAAAGATCAACAGATATTTTGGTCAACATAGATAATAGTAACACAAGACATGTTAAATGTATTCATATACGTTCACCTCCGAAACGCATTTTTAAATATTGAAGCATAGTATATACCTATCGAATATTCATGCATTCATTATCTGTAAAATATTCTACAAAAATTATTCGATCAGATTGAGTAACATGTTTTCCACTACTCTAAATGCTAAGACAAATTCAAATAGTAATTTGACTAGAGAATTTTATTTCTAACGATAATTTTTAAAGATGAAAATGATTGCTAGTTTCTAGATAACCGAAACTGAATGTTATTCAGCTCGTAGAATTCTGATGATTGAATTATTTAACATGTTATTCTAGAGGTTACATGAAATCATTCTCAGTTATTCCGAGATCTACTTGTTCAGAATACTAGCAATTATTTTCATCTTCAACAATCGCTCGTTAGAAATGAAATTCTTACATAAAATCACTATTTTCTTTGCCGTTTGCACTAAAGCAAGTGGAAAACGATTGAAAAACAGATCTGATTGAATAATCTTGGAAATCTTTTACATGTATTTCATAATGTATGATCCCTCTGCTTTCATATAAAAAGGTACAAATACCCAACCAAGAATCATAATCATCTAGACTGCCTATTAAATATGATATGGATAAATAAATAATTATCTATTTTTTTCCTTATTTCCCTACTGATGACTCAAAACCAGCAACAGCTATACTATTTGAAGCACCAGAACCATTAAGACCAAAAACGAATGATCACTGCCAATACTTGATGCGAATAAAGAAGTGCCTACCTGTATACATGCACATAGACTATGAACAAAGATTTTATATATTTCCTAGATTTTGCCGGTATAAAATGCATCGAACGACCAGCAAAAAAATAGCCACCTGAATATAGAAGTAAGCTTTATTTTATAGATGAATTTCGATTATTTTTAGGAAAGTTCTTGAATATATCTTTCTCAATCTGCTGAAACCTAGAGATCACTCAAATAGTAAAATAAAGTTCCGAACAGATATTTCTTTAAAATCTAATTATTTCTGAACAATTTTGGATTATCTTTCATAATCTGACATAGGAAAGAGTTTAAGAAACCTTAGTACTGAATTTGAAAGCTTAATCCGAGACATTTCTATGCTTGCTCACCAACACTGCCACGATTCTTGCATGAACTCTAAAATCAAATGAAAATAAATGAATTAAATAACTTCACTTATCTCACAGACCCAAACTCTAAAACTAAGAATCAGTACAAAATAGAGTAATACAACTAATATATCGGACCAATGCACAACTGTTCCGATGACGGCAACCATGGTTTGATTTATAATTGCCAAAGTATCTGCATCTTCTTCACATTATCTTCATTTATATGCCATAAAAACATCAATGATAGCACATCAACAAAGAAAACAATGAGAATGACATTTTTTTTAAATAAATACTTATTATCACACCTAACTTTTATTCTTTTCATTTTTAAAATAGTAAAGACAAATAAATATCATTACCAAATTACTCAATACATTTCGTCTTTTTATTTTGTTTTTTTTTGAACGTCAACTATTAATGTTTTCATTGATTAATCTGAATGAGGTTGTACTATCAAATGAGTTCATTTTGAAGCGTATCAAAACTGATTATTTGAATTCGTAAATAAATAATTATTTCAAATAACAAAAAAAAATAATAATAATAATAAATGTCAGAGAAACTAATGATTGATTATAAATTTTTCTTAATGAGCTCTACCGAATGTTATACTTGAATTTCGAGACACAACGAACATCCACTGTACATAAAAAAGATCTCTCTAGAGCTTTAGATGTTATAGTAGGGATAGATTTAGAATAGGGCACATCCATCTCGGATAAGTGGTTGAAAGTTCGATATGTTAGCTAACTTCATATACGTAACATTTGAAACTTAAGTGCTAAATTAAGTTCAGATTTGAGCGATAAGAGAATTTATTTACGATCAACTGGTAAACATAGAAATCACTTTAATAAAAGCTTTAGATTCTTCATGATGTGTGATCTTAATATTAAGCCAAATAGAAATTATAGGAATAGAGTCGTTGCTTCGAAAAATAAGATCGATTGATATCATATTCTTTCAGTTTTGATTACTGAAGCGTCTCATCTAATGGTTTCGAGTTAACATCTTTTAATGACCAAAAAGATCCACTATCTATTGTGTTGTAACGAAATTTTTCGATTAGTTAAACAATATGATGATTTTTCTTAAAATATTTTCAAGCTGGATCTATACTGTTGTTTAATTATCACAAAAATAAGACAGTCAATCAATAAAAACAAAACAAAGCATAATCTATTCTTCATAACATCCACACCCGTATCTGAAGAGAATAGTTAAATTTAAAAATGCTATCTTTTTTTGTTCTTTTTTTACATATTCATGTTTAAAAATGTGTCATTCCTCATAATCAAAATACTTTTTCTCTTATTAAGCTCACTTCCGATCTTCACTGTTCTTCTGTATCTAAGTCTACAGATGATGTCAGTTCATAAACACTACGTCCATCTCGTTTCGATATATGACATGTCATTAGGATCGAATTAAGGACCTAAAAATAAATAAAATTTATCAACACAATGAGATTTATTCTTTTTACTTGATGCCATAGAAGAACTATAACACTAAAAAGAAGACATAACATCCATTGTTCAAATGTTAATGCAACACAAGAAATTGCAAATGAACCATATTGAGCAAGAACAATTTGTGCAATCAATGTAACAATCCATATACCATAAAAAGATGGATTTGTAAATAGTCCACGAAAAATATTTTTTTTCGTCATGAATCTTTCGACAATTTATTCCATTAAATAGATTCATTACAATAAATACATTAAATATCATTGTAAAATGTTGAGATGGTTCATAAATACTACCAACTGGACGACCATCATCAATATTAAATACTTTTGGTCCTTCTATATTCAAAAACAATTCTAAAAAATCAATATTA